GCAGCGTCACCGTCGACACGGACACGCCGCTCGTCAGCAGCAGGGCCTCCACGCGGTCGGACGTGAACTCCAGATAGACGCACATGACCTGCCGCGACGCTCCGGCCGCGTCCCGCGCCAGGTCCGGCCCGGCGGCCAGCAGCATCAGCAGGCCGCTGAGCAGAACGGCGGCGTGCAGCAGCCGCAGCCGGCGCGCCGACAGCAGGCTGAAGTAGCGCAGCCCGTGCTCGACGGCCACGTAGCGCTCGACGCTGACGGCCGCCAGCGCAGAGTTCCAGGTGACGCCGGCGGCGTTCTGCAGCGTCAGCAGCAGCCGGCAGCCGAGCGGCGACAGCGGCGCGCCCAGCAGCCGCAGCAGCTCCAGCAGCGCGATCAGCAGTCCCAGCAGCACGCCGGCGCAGGCCATCAGCAGCAGCAGCTGGAACATGGGCCGCTGGCGCAGCGAGCGCGCGCTGACGATGGCCAGACCGGGCACACAGGAGCTGAGGGCCATCAGCAGACCCACGACCAGACCGATCACGTGCAACATGCCGACGGCAGGTCAGAGCGGCAGAGGCAAGAGGTCAGGGCGACGGAGGGTCAGGGTGGCAGGGGTGCGAGTTCAGAACGGTGGGAACAGGAGGGGAGGAAGGGTGCGAAAGACTGACCACCAGCAGGTCAAAACGGCAGAGAAGGTGACCTGCATGTACCAGGCAGCGTGCTCAAGTCGGGGAGCTGCGATGCACTGGCACAGTTCATCTCCAAGGAGTCTCTGCAACTCAGACTAAATTCCTGAAGTATGTGAAGAGCTGAAGCAAAGGTGCTCTCGAAACAGAACTGGGTGTCCGCAAATACAGGGAGGACGGTCAAAAGATCGCCGCCTCCCCGTTATCAGTGCCACCGCTCCTCCGTCTCTGGCCTCCCGCCGTCCGTCTCCCGCCTCCCGCCGTCCGTCTCCGGTCTCCCGCCGTCCGTCTCCGGTCTCCCGCCGTCCGTCTCCCGCCGTCCGTCTCCCGCCGTTCGTCTCTGGCCTCTCGCCGTCAGCCGTCAGCCTTTTCTCCCGTCGCGTCGCGTCGGCTCACCCTGTGACCGACGATGGCAGCCTGCGGCACTGACCGGTCGCCGTCGAGATTTATACGGCCGGCTCTCGCTGCAGTCGGCTCTGGCTCCGCCGCCTCGAGAGGCGTGTAAGCCGATTCTTGCTACTTCGGTATCACTAATCAAGTACCATTGCGTCCTATGCGTGCGTATATGCTTGCAAACAGGTAGCTAAGTGAGCATAAGGGGTGCAGAGCCGGAGCCGGCACTTTTTCCCGGACCTGCGGCAGTTCGAGTGTTTGTGTGGCGCTGAAGCCGGAGGTGTAAAATGAAGCAAGTCCGCCTCCAGAGCAGATGTAAGATAAACATTGTACGTACACAACGCGAGTCAATTTACAAGATCCATTGGCGAGAGTCAGTTTACAGGAACCGATTGGTGACGACTTCCTTGTATGAAATACACGGATAAAGTTTGCCGTAGGTATGCAAAAAGACGGTACTTAGGCCTACATGTAAATGCACACATATGACCTACCTACAATTTTTAATAAGATGAACCTTCACGTTCACGTATCTAGCACATTGACGGTTCCAAGAATCGTTTCGTTGACTCGAGTACGCATTTGCCAGCACTGGTATCACTGCAGGCAAATTTTGTAAAATGCCGTGAATGGAATAGCATGCACGACCTTTATGGACCCAGAAGTCGCAAGCGTTGGGCCTCGTTTTCTCCTAAGTCAATCACCGTTTAAGCATTTTCTGAAACTACCAGCGATGTCTGTTCCCAATCATTCAGTGCTCGACTGGAGCCCGTGCAATATCGCTCTGGCGCCGTCCCTCTGGCCGACCGCGCCGGTCCGCCCCCGATTTTTAAACTTAGAATGATATTTTCTATGCCAATGTGATCCCGATAAAATTGGCTTTTATTTCAACTCCGTTTCATTTCTAAAAGGCGTTCACATATAGGAGATATTGGCAAAACTTTAAACCATTGACCAATGCATATTGGCCATTTTGCCCCAGACCCCGGGGCAAAGCAGACACTGCAGGCGACTTTCTTGCCCCAATATGAGATACAGGATTAGATAGTTACCTCATGTAAGAATAAAGTCGTTGATTGTAAAAAGGTTTAAGAGAGGATGGATGTTAATTTTGCCATCGTTCACCTGTTGGTGAAAAATGCAAGAAAATTTATGGAAAAACATTGATTTGCATTATTTGGGTAACTTTGTAACCGAAAAGCGGTCGGGTCGAGATTAACGCGTAACGATGCATTTCAATAATGACGTTTGTTGTCCAAGTGGAAACAGTTTATGGAATAAGAAACTGTTCACTCTGCCTCGTCCACTTTGCCCCGCGCCTCCCATCTGAGATAAACATCTTCCAGGCATTAAAACTGACAGAGAATATTTGCGATAACCACTTAATGGAAGGATGAGAACAATTAAATAAACTTCCAAACGGTTGTGACATAAAATATCCAGCATTTAAAAAGCGTAAAGATATTGGGATAAAAAGAATAGCTTGAGAAAATAGATATGTCTTTTCGTCTGCCACGGAAAAATGGCGACCGGTCAGAATATCCGTTCTGGCTCATTCAAACGATCGCGAAGAGAAGTACCTATAATTGTCAACAATAGACTGATGCCGACACCAGCTGTGGAGGGCTAAAACGAAGGGTGGCAGCTCAGCGGCCTCCCTCCCCGACCCCTGTTAGTGTTTGGGCCGGTCGTGTGCCCTCTCTATAGGTCAAGGTCGGGCTGGGCCGCTCCGTCCATTCGCTCCTGCGCCGTCCCCTCCTTTGGTTCGCCCGCGCTAGTCCTGCCGGTCCGGGCTCGTCCGTCCGGTGACTGGAAGCGCATAAATCCCGTACGTGCGATGGTCGCACCGGTCCCGGTGGGCGGGGCTGGGCCTTTTGTGAATAAATTATCATCCGGAAAATCTGGTATGTACCAAATATCGATGGAAGCAATTTTATCGGTTCCTCGTGGAACAACTACCTGAAAACGTGAGTTTTGTTTTATCTGTAGGTTACCTGCGCGCTCCATCCGAGAGGAGGTTCAAATCCCACTGGCTCCGTTTCCTTTCAGATCCTGTGAGTGTGACGGCTAAGGCCGTTAGCACAGATATGCTGACGAATGCAAAAATTTTGGAATGGAAATTATCGTGCACCTTTTTCAGGCTGGTTTGATGCCTAGCCTAGCGATTAACTAATGACGGTAACTCGACAGTTATATAGGCATACCATTCGTCCTGGCTTACTTTACGATTTTGTGTCCCACTTCATCTGCGAACGGTGCCCTGTAAGCATGAGTTCTGACTACAGGATAGCCGTAGTTTCATTCGGTGTAGGCACCCCCCCCCCCATCCCCCTCCTATTAGACGCGTAAAAGACACACTTCCTATTCAGCCCACTCCGAGTCTCAGCTGCCAGCCAGGGTACAGCTATATGACCAGGGCCTGTCAGACCGCTGATGCCGCTACCCAACGACCTCCCGGGCTAAAACCTTAATCTATGTCCAAATTTCACTTCCCGATCCGGCGGCCGGCGGCGCTGAGGCTGCCAAAGAACACGTTGCATCATCTGCCGGTGGTGGCCGGGCACGGTCAAGGTCGCGTCAGCGTGCCACGCCGCGGCCCTGTTTATGCCAACTCCTCGCAAAGCTTCCCCAGCCGCCCGCGGTCGGTGGGATCGCAAAAAAAAAAAACGACTCACGGTGCCCCCCGCCCCTCCAGATGGTCTGAGGGGACCGGGCTGCCGGTGTTGTAGATAGAGTGCCCGTAGTCCAGACACGTCCCTGTAGTGTTTCATCCTCTGGAGGTAAACTGGCGCCTGATTTCATTGTCGGCTGATCACAGAGAGCTGTGAGGGAGTAAGTAGTCAAGTACGCCCCCTCACAAAGTCTCATTGGTGTCATTAGCGGAGCCCGGAGGTCCGCTTAGCGAGTCCGTGGACCTCCGGCGGCGGCGAGGCGTCGGTCAGGGTACGGAACCACCCTGCCACCTGGCGGCGGACGAACCAGGCAGAGATTCACCGTCCGGCCGCGCGGTGCAAACTCCAGCCACTCGAACAAAGTCCAAATCGTGCATCATCCCACGTTGCAGCGTCGGATGACTTGGATGTTTCACGGCGTCTTGGGCCATTTCAAGGTCGGAACTCCTCCGCAGCGTGGAGGGCCGAGCCCGCCGCGGAGACGGGGCATCACCTGAACTGGAGCTCCGGACCGGGAGGGAGGGCGAGCGGGCCGACCGCAGCCGTTTGGACTACATCAGCGGGGAGCTCGCAAACCGGGGCTGGCCATCCATTACCAGAGTTCAATGACCACAAAAGCATGACCGCTTTCGGCAATTCGCTATACAAATATCCCAAAAGGTCAAAAGTTCAAAAGGTTCAATTCCAACAAAATGCCGAAAATGTCATTAATGCTTTGTGAAAAGTTGGCGCTATCGTTGCAATACAATTACAGCCACACATCAATAGGTACTGTTATTCGTCAATCGTCATTTCTGATTCAGCCAAAGTCACGTTAATTGTGGCTCTACATCGTACAAGAGTCACCAGGCATGTACCTCATCTGGTGTGCTCAGCGAAGGCCTCAGCATGGCCGGGAGAGTCCCGGAGCCCCGGCGACTCGCCTCCGTCCGGTGCAGTGTTCGGCACCCGACCCGACCGACAGGCCCCATATCCATCGAGCGGCCCTTATCGCCATCTGACGGGGAGGAGGCTGACCCCCCGCTGTCCGTCGGGCCGGCCGCAGAGACACCGCCGCCTCCAGCGACACACGGCTCGCACCGCTCGTCAACAATACCACCTTCCCAAACCGGCGCGACGCCCGTCCAGTTCCCCAAGGTCACCGGTGTGCATTACGTCACCCTGCCAAACTCCCACGGGCCCAGCTTTTCCCTTCTGTCGGCCAGCATAACGGGGGCTCCGCGCCTCCGATAGACATACAGTCGCCGCAGACACACAGACAACCGTGGGCCAATGTCATGTGTAACTGTATTTCATACAAAGCGGCCAAGCATAGGAAGATGCACTTGCTGCACCAGGTCGGTCCGGGGCGCGCCGGCCGCCCGCCCGCTCCCCAGGTCTGCGCGCGGGTCAGTGCGCAGGCCGCTATAGGAGACCGCGCCGCCCGGCGCACCTGGGCGTCCACTACCAGCCGGATCAGGGGAGGCCGGGCCGCGACACGTGGACGTGGGCCATTCGGTGTTCTTGTACGTGTGTTCTGTGTTCGTGTGCGTAAATGTTGTGTGTCAGTGTCTCGTTAGGTGAGTACTGAACAGGTCTAAAACTGTGGGCATAAAAAGTGCATGTTCAAGCATGCACAAAGTGTGGTGGTGTGGTGTTGTATGCGCTGTACAGGTGTCATGTGTCGCTGTGTACGACTGTATTTGTGTTTGCGACGTGATTCTGTCTGTGGCTGTGAGTGTAGGAGTGTGAGTGTAGCTGTGTGAGTGCGAGCGGCTCGGGTGACTAGACGAACAACTGGGGGTGTTGAGCCGTGCCACTCGCTGGCGGCCAGCGGCGGCCCCCTGCCGTCCGCCGCCACTCCCTCCGTCCACTGCCCGGCCGGCCGGCGCCGCCCCCGCAGTCACTCCGCACTCCCCGACACACGCGCGCACTTGCACTGCTCTCCGGGTGAGCTCTGGTGAGTTCGCCGGAAACAGAGCTCCGTGCGGCCGACCGGCGCCGTTCCCGCGGCCGCAGCAACCCTCCACCGAGAGCGCGGCCGTTCGCGCCGCCGGCAGAGAGTGAGCTAACATTAGAACTCACCACCCTAAGGCGTCACTAAAAGACAACATTCGGATTAATTCATATCACGCCATGACATAAGAAAACCTCATCATGGCTGAGTGGGGGACCGCGGCGTGGTCCCGGTCGCCGCCGTCCGCCCCCGCGGCTCACTCTCACTCTCACTCTCACTCCGCACTCGCTCTCACTCGTTCGCACGCGTTCACTCTCTGGCAGCGCCCGGCTGGAGCCGGCCCGGCGGATCACTGGGCGCCGCCGCCGCCGCCGCCGCCGCCGCCGCCGCTCAGTCCCTCCCTCAAGTCGCTGCTGCGCGGCAGTGGCAGGTTCACGCACCAGGCCCGCTGGCCGCCCGCTACACTGGAAGCCCGGAGGCGGGCCGTCGGTCGCGTGGCCGCCGTTCCCTCGCCGTCACACTGTGCGCCACCCGCTGTTAGCACCACCAGACACCACTGAGGCCGCTGGCCGCGGCCGCCGCCGCCACCGGGCCGTCCCGCGCGGCGGCGACCCCGGCGCAGCGTCCGCCGGCGGCCGGCTCTCAGCCGATATCGTCCACACGCGGTCCGCGGTACTTGGCCGAGTCAGAGGGGAACGGGTTGTCGCGCACGCGGATCAGCCAGCCCTCGGAGCTGAGCTCGCCGTTGGTCAGCTGGTGCAGTCGCACCGGGTCCAGCTCGCGGAACGTGTGGTAAATGTGCTCGTGCTCGTCATAGGGCGGCGCCAGGATGTCCAGGAAGGCCACGGGCCCGTCCACGGCGCAGATCTGGTGGATGTTGCCCATCTCCGGGGTGAGCAGCGCCGGCCCGTCGGCCGGGCCCATGAAGCGCGGCAGCTCCTTGGCCGTGTGGTAGATGGTGCCCAGCCGCGTCTGGCGCACGTCCCACTGGGCGGTGGCCGCCGCCGAGTCGCCGCCGTTGAGGATGCCGCTCTGGGGCGCGCGGCGCGGCGTGAACGACTGCATCTGCAGCTGGCCGTGCAGCACCTTCAGCACGCCGTGCATGTTCGGGTGGTCGTGCATCGGCAGCGTGAAGCCGTTCTTCAGGATGAAGATGCCGATGCTGATGTACTCGTTCTCACAGAGGCGCACGTACGTCATCGGCATGATGTTGCGGTCCTGCGTGAAGGGCCGCCGGTCGCGCACCCAGTTGGGGTCGAAGGCCACGTCCTGCGGTGTCAGCTGGTGCACCAGCTGGGTGAGCTGCGACAGTCCCTCGCGGAAGGCGGCCGTGCCCTGCGGCGTGGATCGGAACACGTCCACCGCCATCCGCACCACCCGCTGGATCAGGAACTGGCCCGGGGCGGCCATCGCGAGACTCCCCTGCCGGCACACGGGTCACGGGGGGTCAGCACACAGCAGCACTACACGGGTCGGCGGGGGTCAGTATAGAGCAGCGCGACACGGGTCACCGGGGGTCAGTATAGAGCAGCGCGATAGGGGTCACCGGGGGTCATTATAGAGCAGCGCGACACGGGTCACCGGGGGTCAGTACAGCAGCACTACACGGGTCACCGGGGGTCAGTATAGAGCAGCGCGACACGGGTCACCGGGGGTCAGTACAGCAGCACTACACGGGTCAGCGGGGTCAGCACACAGCAGCACTACAGGGGTCACCGGGGGTCAGGGACGAGCAGAGCAGAGCGTCAGGAGCACGACAATCAGCCGGCGTAAGGCGCACAGCGGCTGGGGGACAGCAACGAGCCAGCGTCAGAGGCGGCGACAGGCTTACCAAGGTCACCACGAGAACACCAAACAGGACTTCTGTCAGATAGATCACAGAGCTGCACCATCGACAGACATACAGACCGCTGCAGCATCGACAAACCGCGATATATAACGGCGACACCGGGCCTCACAGCGCCCGACACAGACCACCGGACAAAAGAACTACCAGGGCTCACAACTGGATACAAACTGGCAGACAGAACCAGACTACCGGATCTCAAGACGGACAAGCAGACAGACCCGGAAAAATAACACACGAACCACTAGAACCAAAAGAACCAGAATATCGAACCTCAAAATACTGGGAATAGCCGGGCCTCCCGCACCGTCCGGCTACCACAGACCACTAGACACAGGCCGGCAGACCCCCGGACCTCCCAGACACAACAGTCGCAGCTCACTGACAGACCGGCAGACTCGCGGACCCACACCGCCGCGCCGAGGGCCGGGCGCCGTCTGCCGTCCGGCCGAGTTTTCCTTGGCACAAAGACCACCGGCAATGCATCCCGGCGTCCCGGGTGACCGCCGTACCGCGGCGCCCCTGCCCCGTGCCCGGCCACACCTCGGGCGGTGACAATACGCCGTGTCGGGCCGCCGCCGCCGCCGCCGCCGGCTCTGTTTTCGGTGTGACTGATTTCCGGCAGCGGTAAATGTGGCCATGCGGCCGACAACAGACGTCATAAGCCGGCTATCGGCCCAGGACCTGTCGTCGGATGATGCAACGGCCGTTTGTACAAGGTCAGCGGCCGCGCTAACCTGTCGCCCTGCCGACATGCTTCATCGCGGGCGGCAGCAATGAAATGCGGACAGGAGCCGCACAGACGGGGAGTCCGCGCAGGTCAGTCGCCGCGGACCGGAGCAGCGGCGACAGCTCGCGGCCTCGGCCCGCTGACAGAACGGCCCCGCCCAGGGGCGGCCGGGACGCGCGCCGACGAGCAGTCGGCGTTCGATGCCACGCAGGGCCGGAAGCGATCTATTCGGTACGGCACAGCGGCGACCAAATATAAGCCGCGCCCATTATAGACAGAGCCGGCGGGGGACGGCCGGCGGGCGGGGCGCGAGAATTCCGTCCGCCGGAATCGCCCTCGAGTCGGCGGCGGAGTCGGCGGCGTGACGGCGGTTTCTGGAATCGGCTGCGCTGCAGGCCGCCGGCGCCGACCGGCCGACCGGCGGCGGGCGGCGGAGCGATCCACCCAGAGGGCCCGCGGCCGGTGTCGCAACACAGCGGCCCCCCAGCGCGTCTGCCGGAGGCGGCAGCGGCCACCAGAGCCGCACGCCCAAACACTCGCCCGAGCCGGCACCACGCGACACGAACAGGGAAATAGGGCAGCGTGTGTGAATATTAATAGCCGCACTGGATGACAGATTCGCGTCCGTCTCTAATGCGCCCCGGCCGGTCAGCTGGGCCGCTACTATCAGTGTCGGCCGTGCGGGCACTGTCGTACAGCTCAGAGACAAGCCGCGGGGTGAATTCGTTAGTGCAGCGGCTATCGGCAGCCGGCCGGTCCCGGCAGCCGGGCCACCATTGGCTGTGAACTGTGACCGGTCTGCCGTCACGGAGGACGGGGAGCCGAGTGTATGTCGGGTCAGAATGGGTCAGAACAGGAAGTAGCTGGGAAGGGTCAGGACCTACAGGGTCTTTCATATTGAATGTTACTTTTGAAAGAGCTATTTCTCAGTACATATATTTTCCTCATGTAATATGTACCATCACATGAAACAGAAACACATTAGCGTTTTTGCACATACAACTTTCATTTTAATGCTCCTCAGGAATTTTCCACTGTGTCGCCCTTAATTAAGGCACAGGTTTCGGCCCTCTGACGAAGGTGTCGCACCCCGCGCCTCACAACGTCTGGGTCCAGGCTTCCAGCAAACCTCTCCACTGTGGTTCGCAGTGGATGGCTGCAGGGGGGTTTTGTCTCAGATCTGCCAATGCGACTCCCCAAAGCCAGTAGTCCAGCGGGGAGAGGTGGCGGCTGATAACGCGCTCTTCGAAATTCTCGATCAGCCACTGGCGCAACAGCTCAGCCGTGGTGTGCACTGTGGCGCCATTCTGCTGGAACCACAGGCCGTCTCTTTGAAACTTGTCCCTGGCCTGAGGCAGAAGCATTCCTTGAGCAGCCTGAGGTAAGCCACCCAGTTCAGTGTTGACCCAGGGGAGAGCCAATGGATGAAGACTTGTCCGTCGACCGTTATCCGTAATGCGTTTTAGTGGTGTTGACACACTGTTTTTGCGTGAAGGAAAATTGGCGTTGTGAATTTTTTATTTTTTGGGACAAACCCTAATCAATTTGCAACAATACGCACATAAAATTCACGTGGAAGTGATAAAATAAGAGCTCCTAACTAAATGTTCAAAAGTAACATTCATTATGAAAGACCCTGTATGTTGTAATTTGACAAAACGTCTATAAAGAACAATTGACAAGCTAAGAAAACTAAATTCATGTATTATCAACCAGAAACGCAACATTCGCAGCGACCTATTCGTTACTGATAATCCTTTATTAGGGAGGTTATTTCATCGCTTACGACGACCGGTGCGGTGGCGATACCTACCAGACTTAAACACAGCAAGTAACGATGCCAAACAAGCAGCACCATAAAAACGAGATAGCGCTGCCGATGACAATCCCTACAGGAGATCTGCGCTCCCCGTCGTCGTTACATCGCAAGGCGGAAGGCCTGCAGTGCTGAACTGCTGACGTAACAGCGAGTCGGGGCATTACGGATGACGCACAGCCAGAACAAGCAAACACGGCCGACGCACCGATGGACCGGCGTGGGGCGGCGCGGCCACTGAGGGGCGCGGGACGTCACAGCCCGCGGCCGGCGGGCACACGGTGCCGTGCAGTGACCGGCCGCCACAGGTCCACTCAGCCGGGCGGCCGCTGAGGGGTGGGGGCCGTCACAGCCCGCGGCCGGCCGGACACACGGTACCGTGCAGTGACCGGCCACCACAGGTCCACTCAGCCGGGCGGCCACTGAGGGGCGCGGGACGTCACAGCGCCGCGGCCGGCCGGGCACACGGTACCATGACCGGCCGCCACAGGTCCACTCAGCCGGGCGGCCGCTGAGGGGTGGGGGCCGTCACAGCCCGCGGCCGGCCGGACACACGGTACCGTGCAGTGACCGGCCACCACAGGTCCACTCAGCCGGGCGGCCAGTGAGGGGCGCGGACGTCACAGCCCGCGGCCGGCCGGGCACACGGTACCGTGCAGTGACCGGCCACCACAGCACAGTGTGGCCGAACACCAGTTTAGCGCGAATTTAATCCCAGCGCTGCTCGGATCCACTGAAAATGGTTCTCTGGTTCCAAAACTGACACTTACCCCTCGCCGGACTTATTGGTTTTCAAAATACGCGCCGGCCGAAGGGGTGGGGGGGGGGGGGGGGGTTGGTACGACCCCCGTCGCTGTTTCGCCCCTGATGGAGCTAGAGCCCCGCGGAAAAAACGAGCGTGTGCGCCGTTACGAGACGCAGCGACTGGTACCCGATTTTAAGGTCTTAGGCCAACCTGTGACCTCTGAGGTCAGGTCAAGTGACCCAGGTGCGGATTCATTTTTTATTAATAACTTCGCGAAAAAATGCCGAGGAGCCGCAATTTTGGTATCAACATGTTCGCCTCACTCAGGCGCGTCGAATGGTATACTTTTTGTTCGGCTGAAGCTAACTTCAGGTGTTGACCGTGGGACGTGGGTCAAGGTCAGGTCAGAGTCCTCCAGATCACGAAGTTGGTTGAAGGATGTCATGTTGCATATCATTCGATTCAGCAAGTCTTCCTGAGTCCATTGGTGGCTTTCTCGACTCGCTAGCTCAATTTAATCGGGAGTTATTGACGAAAAACTCTTATTACCCTAGTGACGTCATAAATGACGTCACGTAAGACCAACAATGCATAGGTGAAGCATCGGACCTTGCAAGGAGTGCATGAAATCACGATTTCGTGTGCTTGAGATAGTTTATTAGGCTGGAGCCTGTCCGGCCGCGCCGCCCCCGACCTTGGTCAGGTCACATAGGGCGGCCGACTAGACATGTTCAAAGCTGAGTTGACGGCAAATAGGCAAAAACTGGCAGCTGAAACTTGCTCGCTCATGTTCAGAAAGGTGCGGAGAGTTCAGCCATGCCCTATTCGTCATATCCATTTTTATCCATTTTGACATTTTTCAACTTCTTTATTAAATACTATCGTGAGAACGATACACATGCAGGGCTCTTGTTCTAACTCATTAAACTCAAAAACCATTCATTGAAAAGCTACCATGATAGCAGAAACAGCTTCATCATGAATTGTGCTATCCGGTGATATGCTATTTTCTCATATATCTTCTCGAAACTTCCGTAAAATTTACGTTGAAAACTGGCCATATTTATCAGTACCATAGCCCGATTTTAGGAACCGGAGCGTGGGTCTACTTTCGGCAGGGATATAAGTCCTCAAATGGTAAAGTGGCTTAAAAATAAGGTTCTATCAGATAACTTCAGACAATTTCCTACCCACTGATAGGTATAAATAACAGTTTATCGAAAGTCGGGTTTTTGATTAAATTCGCGCTAATCTGGTATTCGGCAAAACCGTGCACAGGTCCACTCAGCCGGGCGGCCGCTAAGGGGCGCGGGCCGTCACAGCCTCAGCCCTATCGCTCCGAACGTCGATAGCGCACGAGTGCTCAGCGCCCGACGGTCCGGCGACATGGGCAATCAACCGGCCGGGCCGAGTCGGGACGCCTCCATACTACAGCGCGTCTCGCCTCCATACCACAGCGGGCCCCACCTTCCCACCCACGGCACACCCCACATGGACCGCACCGGACGGCGATGACGCTGAGGTTTCGGCCGTCTGGACTGGAGCCGTCTCTGGCGCCCCGCCCATATGGACCAGTAATGCAGTTCACGCCGGCGGCGCGCAGTCCCAACAAATCCCACCGGCCACCGGCCCGCCAGGCCGCAGCATCATTGCTTACTCAAGCCACTTCAGCCGGGCCGGGCGCACTAGGCAAAGTGCTACGTAAACGATTGGGTTTCGGACTGTCATGACCGCTCCTGCGCCGCCGGGTGGCAGGCTCGGAGCTACGCAACGGAACCGGGCACAGACATACAGTAGGTACGAACACACAGTACAGTACAGGCTCGGAGCTACGCAATGGAACCGGGCACAGACACAGACATACAGAAACGCACAAACACAGGCGGGAGACACGGCGTCCGACATAACATGAACTATATCCAGACCCGGAACAGCCCAGACCAGAACAGTGTTCTAAAATTGGTACTTGTATTTGTACATATTTGTATTTATTTACACACGGGCTCCATAATATTGCTTTTCAGGCTGTAATTGAGAGCGTTCGAAGTATTGCTGTAAATTGATGGGCCGTGTTGTGTGCGTATCTCACGAGAGCAGCTCTCTGTCGCTAAGCCGATGCTGTCTGCCAGCATAAACTAATTGCTATTGAGGGTGGACGAATATGACAATTTCCAGCAACATTTGGACGTTTAATCAATGAACAATTCATAATACATCAATCAAAATATCAGAACATGACAGGAGAAAAGGTACGACACAGTCACAGCGATTCACAAAGCCGTCACCACAGCCGGTACTACCCTCAGTCTATGCTGACCGATACGAGTGTCCTGTCCCTCGCCGCCTCGTTCCGTCCGGTGACAGTGATTTGGCGTGTCTGCCGCCCTTCACCGGCTGGAGGACGGTACCCGCGCTCCGGTGTGGTGTGCCCGGTAATGTGCACACGGTACGTACTAACGGAGATGGACGCCAGGGACGGATTTTGTACGAAAGTTAGCTGGCATTCATCTGCAGTTGTCACGGGACATGGGCCGTGCCCATAGCACCTCCGAACGTAATGAAACCCATGCACACAACGCACATTGACCACCTAAGGTCACCGCAATCAATACCGCTCAGAAGCTCATCCTGACAACGCACACCGTCACACGACCAATAAACACGCGAAGTCACATCAGTGAGAGCGAAATAAAGTCAAAATCCCACTCCAGCACCCACGTACAACACGCACACATCACAGTGCACGCATCCACACCCTCATCCCGCACCTGCACACGCCACACACCAACCAATGCACGCCACACATGCCCGCACGGCCCACACCCACCAGCACAACACACGCACGAACACAGACACGCCCCCGCCCCACACACCCGCGGACACACGCCGGCGCGCCCCCATTCACAGCGGCTGAACGTACCGGTGGCGCCGGGCTGGCAACGACGTCTGAGTCGCCGCCCCTCGCGCTGGCTGTCGACATGCAGCCACCTGCGGCAGGGGGAGGGCTGGGTCACATCGACGGCCTCGCCCGCAGGACGCCTGGGTCACACAGGGACAGATTGGGTCACACAGGACCTCACTCATCCGAGGGCGACAGTCGGCAGTCACAAGGACCGGTGGGTCAGAGCTGAGCGGCTGACAGAGCCGCGGCACGGCGGCTCGATCTCCGCCAGGCGAGTACGGAGTAGTGAGTAGATCATCAACAATCCTCCACCGTCCCCTACAGGGCGGCACACGGTGGGACAGCCGCAGAACACCGGCTGACAGGGCGGGACACGGTGGGACAGCCGCAGAACACCGGCTGACAGGGCGGGACACGGTGGGACAGCCGCAGAACACCGGCTGACAGGGCGGGACACGGTGGGACAGCCGCAGAACACCGGCTGACAGGGCGGGACTCGGTGGGACAGCCGCAGAACACCGGCTGACAGGGCGGGACACGGTGGGACAGCCGCAGAACACCGGCTGACAGGGCGGCACACGGTGGGACAGCCGCAGAACACCGGCTGACAGGGCGGGACACGGCGGAGAACATCGGCTGACAGGGCGGGACACGGTGGGACAGCCGGAGAACACCCGGCTGACAGGGCGGGACACGGTGGGACAGCCGCAGAACACCGGCTGACAGGGCGGGACACGGTGGGACAGCCGCAGAACACCGTCCCCTACAGGGCGGGACACGGTGGGACAGCCGCAGAACACCGGCTGACAGGGCGGCACACGGTGGGACAGCCGGAGAACACCGGCTGACAGGGCGGCACACGGTGGGACAGCCGCAGAACACCCGGCTGACAGGGCGGGACACGGCGGAGAACACCGGCTGACAGGGCGGGACACGGTGGGACAGCCGGAGAACACCGGCTGACAGGGCGGCACACGGTGGGACAGCCGCAGAACACCGGCTGACAGGGCGGGACACGGTGGGACAGCCACAGAACACCGGCTGACAGGGCGGGACACGGTGGGACAGCCGCAGAACACCGGCTGACAGGGCGGGACACGGCGGAGAACACCGGCTGACAGGGCGGGACACGGTGGGACAGCCGGAGAACACCGGCTGACAGGGCGGCACACGGTGGGACAGCCGCAGAACACCGGCTGACAGGGCGGGACACGGTGGGACAGCCGCAGAACACCGGCTGACAGGGCGGGACACGGTGGGGCAGCCGCAGAACAGAGCACCGGCTGACAGGGCGGGACACGGTGGGACAGCCGCAGAACACCGGCTGACAGGGCGGCACACGGTGGGACAGCCGGAGAACACCGGCTGACAGGGCGGCACACGGTGGGACAGCCGCAGAACACCCGGCTGACAGGGCGGGACACGCCGGAGAACACCGGCTGACAGGGCGGGACACGGTGGGACAGCCGGAGAACACCGGCTGACAGGGCGGGACACGGTGGGACAGCCGCAGAACACCGGCTGACAGGGCGGGACAGCCGCAGAACACCGGCTGACAGGGCGGGACAGCCGCAGAACACCGGCTGACAGGGCGGGACAGCCGGAGAACACCGGCTGACAGGGCGGCACACGGTGGGACAGCCGCAGAACACCGGCTAACTTAGCGAAAAGTATCGCGATAAAAGGCAGTCCTCTGTTGGAAGCATGACTGAACAATGAATGAATGACCGAAGTTAATGCCGAGGAGTCCGAGGAGCTCGCCTCACTGTTATTGACTTTCGCCGACGCACGGCAGTGTAACCGCCCCACTAGACAAGACCGCGACTTGCGCCCGCCAGCTACAAGAACAGCGGTCGGGCGGCGAGGGTTTGCGTATCGAGCAGCCTCGCTTTTAAACTCTATGCCCAGTGACGTGACACGGCTCGAGCCAGCGGCTTTTAAACCGGCAGCGAAACGTTTCTTTTATTTGGAGTGATTGTGCGTGCGTGTGTGTGCTGTTTCGGCGGATGATTGTTGTTTGCCGTGTACCTTTCGACTTTCCCAACCGTTTTATTCACTGACAATTGACACGTAATAGCCACCGTGTTGTGGAGTGTCTGCTGACGTAAATATAATGAATGAATCATTTAAACCGCATTGAACAAACAAAATTAAAGTGAAAGTAAACCAGGGCCAATGAGCTGCCACTGAGCTTCAAAGGTATAATTATAGCCATGGACAGTGAAACACTAACAACTGGGTACTATTAAAGACGAGCTGTGCAGCACTGATTTATTAAATCAGCCACGGACCGAATCTGAATGGCTACAGTGGCGATACGCTGACCACAGAGCGAGGAATGCCCAAGGCGCTGAAATTCTGCACATCTACAGGAGGCATAACTACATACGAGGCATACTCGTATACTTTCTTTCACGACTGACGTTTCGATTTTTCGATTTTTCGTGGGTAGGGAATGCAGCAATCATAAGTAACTGTTCACATAAATGAAAAGTGAGCACCTTCGTTAAGCATGTGAAACATAACAATTCCTAAGGATAAAGGCGTTTAAAGCACCGACTATGTATTCCAATGTTCAAAGTTAGGGCTGCATGGCGTGCGTGCAGATTGCAGGAAAGGTATTTTGAATATCATGTGCGACTCTTGGGTCGCCCTATTAACATGTCTTTGTCGCCACTCAGCGTTAAGCAGCTCGGAAGAGCCGTTTCAGGTCAGCGCCAGTTATGAATTTACATACATGCATATTGCATGCGTTACGTTCTATCGCCCTCACACGGTTGGACGGCGCAGACAGTAAATTCAGTCCCCAAATCCACTAAACAACGTCCGTTCACCCCAGGGCGTCGGTCGCAGTTACTGTGCAGCTCAGAACACCGAGTTCGAGGGTCGCGTCTACATTCCCACCGGGTTTAACACAGCGGGCGCGGCCCTCAGAACCAGATGTTTAGAAGTGAGTCCCGTTTACAAACCATTGGCACGTTACACGGGTTTCATCAGCCGGGGCACGTATTTTTGTTTTATTTGATTATCGGTCGGCTGCCATGTGATCCAGGTCGGCGTGACGTGCCGTTCTCTCGGGGCGGCCACTGACGTGAGCGGCGGACCGCAGAGCGGCCAGGGAACACCCGGGCAGCGCCCGCACCCAGCGCATCGAGCAAACCTCAGCACAGTGACCGCGCCAGGGAGACAGGGGGGGGGGGGGGAGGGATGGATGGGAAGGAGATGAAGAGAATGTACCGAAAAGACCTCATGATTCAGACTTCTTCCTCTGGGGGGACTCCCGGCGATCCAGGATCCCGCGGCGTTCCCACGGACACCAGAGAAGCCGCAGAACGACCCTCATCCCACCGCGAGCGGCATTCGCAATAGACATTTCGCGAAATCGGCGTCACCACGACCATGAGGTGGCGAAACTCGCTGCAATCAGCTGTTCTGAGCTGAGCACTCATAGCCAGAGAAGGCACTCACAGCCAACGCAGACGAAGCGTAAAAAGAATTGTCCGTGGTAGTTAGGCAGCCTCTCGTGATAACATCTACCGTTGTGGAGGGAGTCATAACAGATTAACCTACCCTCACTATCACGCATCGAAGAGCCAAGAACTAAAATAACTTACTGGTATATAAATGGTGTAATCTATTTATTACTTAGATATACTGCAACTTACCACCTCAACGATTCCATTGATCAACGCTTCTGCCAGGTTAGGAAATACTCCACATTAACATTCATGCAGGCACACATCACACTCTACATTTATCCTTATTTCATTTTTAACCGCTGCTCCATTTATAGAATAAAGGATGATGAAACATGCAGAAATTATCCTGTTTGTGCCGGCCCAGTCATGAAATTCCTCAATATGACGAAGGATACAACCGTAAGAGTCTGGTCAATAGTGTATGTCCTTGTGGTCTTTCGTCAAACGGCCTTGTGGGACAGCATGTGTCCTTTCCGAGCCTTGGTCTGTCTGCTTCGCATGGAAAGCCGAACTCAGTCACGAGTCCCCACTCAGTAAGGCCATCAACAAAGAAAACAAAACTAAGGTTCTAGGGGTTTTAATGAATAATGCTTATTAAGCAGGTAATTTACTGCACATTCATCAATAGAATCCTGAGATCAATATTTACTTTCGACGAGCCCTTGGCATTACTAGATGGGCTGCCCTCACCCTCCGGTCCTATGGTTTTACGGCACCCTTCACCCCGCGGAAATAGCACTACGGAGGTGCCCGAGGGGTCAGAGGTGGCTCGTTGCATCCTCGTCCCATGGCCGGCCACTCGAGTCCCCACCAGCACGGCTCGTCGTCCCGTGGGCACCCATGGGTACGCCCGCCGTTGGGCGGCGCGGCCGGCGGCAGCCGTCCCCTGCAATCGATAAGTGGCACCGAGAGCCGCGGCTGCAGGCTGGCTGCGTCAGCGTCTCCAGTCGGGTCACATGACCCGGCCGGTGACGCCGCGACTTCTCGACCGACGACACCGGCGGAGACGGCCCGGGCCCAGAGTCGACAGAGACGGCCCGGGACCAGAGTCGGCAGACGGCCCGGGACCAGAGTCGGCAGAGACGGGCCGGGACAGAGTCGGCAGAGACGGGACGCCCCCGGGACAGACAGGGTCGACAGAGACGGGCCCGAGGCAGAGTCCCGCCCGGCCCCCTGGACCAGTATAGACAGAGACGGCCCGGGCCCAGTATAGGCGGAGACGGGGACCGGGGCCAGGGTCGACAGAGACGGCACGCCCCCGGGGCTTTCAGCCGACGGATCGGCTCATAACTACCCGGGCAGATGGTGACTGCGGATATTTCTATATTCCGCTTTCCTATCAACGATGCCCTGCTTGGGCTACATGGGTTTTTGCTCCGGATTGCATCAGGTCGACCTCGCTTTTTTCTGCGTTTGCTGAACTGTGACAGGTGTTTGCCAATCTGGCGTCAAATATACCCTCTAGACGGATGTTTACCAGTCCATTGATTTCCCATCGGGTGGAGCCCGTGACGCGTTGGTAATGCTCCTCCATTAGAGGTAGCGTTACCACTGGGTCCCATTCATACGACGTGGTTTCATTAATCGCATGTGCTTATAAACGGCGT